TTTTGAAGAATTTACGGATTATAGGAATCACTGAGAAACGTTGCATCATTATGTCGAATAAATAGCCCGGTCGGTCTCTGCGGGAGCGTTTATAAACACCCGAATATTCTCGTTCGATTTGCGAGCGCATAACAGATTCCTGCGGGATCGCTGTCGATGAACGCATCGACGGGAACTCTGGCAGTCCCGGCCTTTCATCAGGAAACAGAGACCGACGTGCATGCTGCCTGTCGAACGGCAACCGGTGCATTCCGCGAGGAATGCCTTTCATCCCTTGCGCGGATCCAATATCTCAAAAGAGGAGGCGGCACTAACATCCACGATTCGGTCCCCATCTCTCCTCCTCTGGACGGCCATCCGGAATGAGACGTAGGGTCGAACGGATGTTGCCTCGTCGTTGACCCTATTTACGCTCGGTCAAGCCGTCCCTTTTGCTTACAGGACGGTATGACACAGAAGACTAGACAAACGTACGGAAGCAAGCTTGTTGTGTAGATTAAATTTGGAATCCCTTTGTTCGCGTGTATCCGGCGACACGTTGCTGCCCGAAAGGAGGAAGCGAGCGTGATGTGTATTGAAAGTTCTTCGCAGCAACATCGTTGATCGCAATGAACAGGGAAATTTAAATGCGATTTGACGTTTTTTGAGGCAAAATACTGTCGCTGTTTACGCTGAGGTGTATACGGCGATTGTTGTAACGACTGACAAGATGACTTTCAATCAGTTTCAATTAGTATTGACATGAGCTGATCGTGAAAATGAATTACTAACTGAACAATATTCGTGTTAAGCTAAGTAAGATTAGTAAAAGCAGAAGAGTCTGCTAACAACAAGTAAAAACAGTATAAAAGGTTTATAGAAACCTACACATAAACAAACTTCTTATATAGGCTCTTAAAGAGCCTATATAAGATCTTTATCTTCTCTTTTAAGTATAGAACTGATCTTGTTGGGAAATTTGAACATTTGGGGTTTCAGTTGTGTTATATATGCTTTTTTTAATTTCTGGAAAGATTTTTATTTGTTTATAATGTTTGATTTAATTGTAATATTATTTTTTCAGGAATGACTAAAGTATTATTTAGCGGCATAGTAGTTTAATTTTATTTTTTTCATTGACAATTTAATTTTGAAAAATTTAGGGAATAACTACACGGATTTAACAAATAGATCTAATGTTGCCTACCGATTTCTAAAATGCCAACGAGTAGCTATTCAAATTGTCGCCATCAGTTTTACGTTTTTAATTACAATATTTTAGCATTTGCTGTTGTTTCTAATTTTATTTAAAATTTATTATAATAGATAATATGCAAAGTTTAGAATAAGACCGTATGTTTAGGAATATAGATCGAGATGACTAGTTTATTAAAAGGAACGGGTGCAATTGTCACAAACTCAGACACTATTACAAATTGGGACATTCACTTGAACTGTAAAGTGAGATTAGTAGCGGAATTTATATGCTGTAAAAACTTGTCTTAAAATTTTCTAATATTAGCGAAATGTTCGATCTGTTGGAAATATCGACAATAGTTCGGCGGAAGTGTGCAAAATTCTTTACAACGACGAGGAGATAGAAAGAGAGAGAGAGAGAGAGAGAGAGAGAGAGAGAGGGAGAGAGAGAGAGAGAGAGAGTATTCCTTCCGCTGGACTTCTTTCTATGCAAGATCCGTCGATCGTTTCTTTCCTCGTTTGAAATTCCCCACGGAATTACCGAAGTTGCGATACAAATACACGCGACGTGTCCTCTGACCGAGTTCATCTTATCGTTCAGCCCGCATTGACGCCGATCGTTCGGCATCAGTTATCATCCGCGTCTCGTTTTTGTCTTTTCTTGCCGCGTTGCGTCACATTTGTCTGCAGATTGAATCTGAGGAATCCGGCGCTGTCGGAACAAGACGATTCGATTTAAATTCCAACACTGGATTGCTCGCTCGCTCGCTCGCTCAGCTTCCAGTTTCCGCGATCTCTCGCGCGGAAAACATAACGTAAGCTTCATGTATTCGCGGAGGAGGAGGGTGGCGGCGTAAAACTGCTTCGAATTTCCGCCCCGGATCCAAATCTTCCGTGCTGCCTGGAAACGGCGTGCACCTATCGAAATGCGCGATACGGATCCTGATTTCCAACGGCCGTCACTGCGCGTCTCTCTACACGACGTGAGAGATATTTATTGCGGAACTACTTCATTCTGCTCCCTTATTCCCAACGAAATAACGAATTATTCTCGTTCTTGGCGGGAGCGGAACGAGAAAAGTAACAGGCGGAATGTCGCCGCCGCATAATTCCAAAAGCCTGCGATTTCCCTTTCCGTAATATCGCAGAAGTCACGATATTTATTTTCTGCGAGCTTGCGCTACGAAAACCACATTTCTTTCTGAGCGAACGTCTCACGCGTGCGTTGCAACTTGAATATACCTACATGGATTATTCGCAACGCTCTTATAAGACAAAATCTTTTCACTGTGCTGATTCCCCGGATTATATATTTCTTCGGGAAAGGAACATGTATATGTACAGGTGTACGATAGTGTGCTACTTCAGTCCCCTACGCATGTACTCATTGTCGCCATTTATCAAAGAATCCCTACATATTCTTTCTTTTGCCCTCTTACATCAGGATGGGCAAATTTTATCGCGGAGATTCAACTGTACTTTATAGCGAGATTAAAAGGGGAAGACGGAGGAGACGTTTGCGCATAAAACGCGTGATCCGGCGACAACGTTTAAGTGATTGCGACGACGCAATTCTTCCGCGACCTTATGCCAGCATTTGCGAAATACATTTTATAGCGTATTGCGCTTCGATCGTCGGGCTTGCGACGCACGGCAGCGAGAATCCACCTCGCCCCGGGTCTCACGATGCCGCGCGAGAGACGCCGAACGAGATCTTATAAATATTCTATGAGCCACGTGACACAGAACGGATGGCTTTTGAACTACAAGGAAGAGCAATTTTTGCAAAATCTGGTCTGGCACTAACGCGGTTGCGTCTCGCTTCCCTCTGTATCGCGATCTCATAAACGCCGTGCTTTACCCCGTCGAAGATTATTCCGCGTCTCTGCTTTCTGGAGGTTCGACGGGCTCTTCCCGGGATAAAGAGGCCGATCTCGTGGGAAATAAGGTTCAGTAATGCAGCGCTACCACTCACGTAACCAACCCACGAGCGACTAGAACTTTATGAATTGCAGCGCACTTCAAGTTTCACCTGGAGAGATAGAGACACATTTTGTCACTTCCACATCGTCCCCGTGGATGCCAATTGAGACGTACAAAAAGGGTCACTGCGATTATCGTTGCACATTCATACACGCGTAACGACGGTGCAAGCGCAGCGACAGTAAAATCTTACATTTCGCGAGCTTTTTTTAGAGTATGTCCAACAATAACTATTTTATTGGCGTATTTTCCTTATAAAGTGACTTTGGTTTCTCGAGTGACAGAAACCAAAATTTAAATCGAAACTGCTCCCCCTAGAAAAAAAACTTTATTACCATAAGACGTTTTTTTATGTATTACGTAATTTCTGTTAAACAAGTTTTCTCTCATTGATTTTTGTTAAGTAACTTTTTCCGTAACTTTTTTCAGTAACTGTTCTTTTTTGTTAGGTACATTTTTCTCCTGCTCCTGTTTGTTACATATTTTTCTTGCTTTTATATTTTGAGCGTATTCAAGGTGATAATTATTGTTTTCTCACTTTGTATATGACGATTAACTTTGAGAGAAACTTTGTTTTCGAAAGTTTATGGGTCGATAACATTTTTTATGTTTATCTCCATGCTTGTGCTCGGTCGGACATGATTTTCAACGTTCGCGTGTCCTGCATTGTCAAATTCATTCCAACAGAAACTACCGACTAACTGATGACTAAAGCTTCAGCAAGAAATATCTTGAAGTTCAGGGATTTGTCACTAGGTAACGAGGTAGTTGCTTATCCGAACACTCCTGAACATTCTTGAACCGTCATGAAGTTAGGGTAAACAGTGCTAACCTCCGAGATATGTATGTTCCAAACTCTGAAGCGTCCTGTAAACTCGTACACGTGCTTGAAACTTGCGTTTATTCCTGAAAACACACTCATGTGTCTTCCAGCGGTTAGAAGACGTACAGAGATTCGAATTTTGAAGTTCGCAGTATATTTTTCTTAAATCCGACTCGGACGAGGGAGTACGCTGCAGTCCGAGAAAAAATTACTCGGACTCATGGAGACTCTCGGAGCTTTCATGCGATATGGCGGAAATTGCAGATGCTGCGATCTCATATGAGATTTCCAAATCTTAGAATTCAATTTCAGAGTTCCATTGGAGATCTCAAAGTGTCATTGAATTCCGATTTTACAGATTATCAAGTCGATTGATATTTTGCACTTCAGAGAAGAAGAAATAATTTAAATTTTAATGATAAAGATTAAGAGTGAAGATGAAGAGTCAGGATGTGGGAAAGCGAGCTCCGTACACTCGGAATTTAGTATTTAACGAATAAGAATGAATCGTGTCGAGTGAAAAATTTAGCGTATCTAAAATCGAGAAACCCTGGAAGATATTCTTAGATATTCTTAGTCGCACGGCCAAAATAAAGATCGGTAAATATTAACTACTCACATTTTTATTCTCCAATGTTTCTAGAGCCCTTTGACACTTCGAGAGTCAATGTTTACAGGAGGCCGTTCTGCGGAAGTAGTGTTCGCGTAATAGATCTTGAAGCGGTAGGGGTAGATTCTTCTTATAACGCGGCGACGACGGCGGCGATATCCCTCGTTCATTCTGCAAACGTCGCGTCGATACAGCTGCGCTACCCGTACCTGCCCCATAAAATCTCAATAAAACGTAGCTTTTCGTCTTAAGCTTTCAGTGAAGGTTTCTTTAATCCTGTTAGAGCTTTCCTTCGGCCGGGCGAATCCCCGATACACGAAGGGAATTTGCCGATGTCCCCCCCTCTCCTCCCCAACCCACCCCACCCGACGGCGATTAACGCGAGTTCATTCTGCTTTTATTTCGCAGACTCTGAGTACGAGGAGGAGCAAACACCGAGATACAGGCCGGACTCTTTGGCGAGCCTTTGTCGAGCCACCAGATTCACGGAGGCCGAGCTGAAGAGAATATATCGCGGCTTCAAGGCTGAATGTCCTACGGGAGTCGTCAGGGAGGAAACTTTCAAGTGCATCTATTCGCAGTTCTTCCCTCAAGGAGGTGAGGTCAGATCCTAGATACAGCAGTATTTCCTTCGCGATAAACGATTCCTTATTAAACAGTAAAAGAAGTGGGACACGCCACTTCGGTTGTGAGAGGGACGGCATAGCGAGCGCTTACGAAGTTGGTGAGCTGTTAAATGTATCTTCCGTTGGGGTTTCCGTCAAGACTCATAACGCAGATAAAAATTTCATTAATAATCGCGCTTATATTATCGGCTTTTCTGCTTTCACCTTTCAGAGAAAACGGGTTATTAAGTGTGACTTGCTGTATTTTCTGCCCCTGTCAGAGATAGATCTTTCTCCCTTTTTTTTTTCATGCGGCGACAGATATTGATACGCAGTATCGCGAGACAATTGCCGTACTAGCGGAATAATTTCGCGATATAGTTAAATATTTGAACAGAGGAGAGGCGCGCACCTCTGATTACGTCGGATTGAAAAATTAAACAGGTTCAAGAAAAATGTTTACTTTCCTCTTTCGATCGCAAAGAGGCCGCTGTTATTCTCGCTGACGTCTCTTGTGCCCACTTTTGCCGTCTAGCATCCGATCAATATTCCCGAGTATCTTACGATGGAATTTATAATTAGCAGAAATAGCAATCCCGCTCGTTTGCTTCCTTCGATTCTCCCAAAGTACGCGTCCGATTCCCCCCAACCTGACGCGCAAGGTCGAAAAATTCCGCAAATATTGAAGAAATGTTGATTTGATTTTGCGAAAAAAGAAGGAAAGAGAGAGGGAGAGGGAAAGAAAGAGAGAGAGAGGGGGAGAGAGAGACATCGAACATACCGCTCCGGTTTATTTATTCACCGCGCATCTATTCGCATTTAAATTTCTCCGTGTTGCGACGGTAACATAGAGGATGCGTCGAAGAGCATTAAGCATGGGAAAGGGAAAGAGAACAATCTAACTGGGATATAACTACGGCCCTTCTCTGAACGCGGTTACTGTAGCCATGGTAACGAACTCCGAGATCAAAATGGCACTGCGTTTCAAATGTTCCCTTTTATCCATCCGTATCCGAGAGACATAGAGAGAGAGAGAGAGAGAGAGAGGGAGAGAGAGAGAGAGAGAGAGAGAGAGAGAGAGAGAGAGAGAGAGAGAGAGAGAGAGAGAGAGAGAGAGCGGGGGAGGGCCGGGGAAAGATATGATTATCCGTGGACTATACGCGTCCCGCGTATTAATGCGAAGCAATTTTCGGGAGTCGCGTCTGTCGTATAAACGCATTTTAATTGGAGCCGATTAACTTTGTTACGACGGCATTAAGCGCTCGACCGCTTAAGCGAATGCTGGCCGGCACGAAGAGGAAGCACTTATTGCGAATGTTCTCGCGACGACTCAGGGACTCGCTCGCCTGCTCGCTCTACTTTAATCGAGGCGATTCGATACGTTCCACCGCGGTTTCGTCACGCGGATCATCGTGTTCCGCAACTTCCATCTCCGGCGATACAAATCGCAACGCCAAAGGAGCTCCGAACACCTCAGGTATTTCCGAGTCGTAACATTCGTTTATTTCCGTAGCAAACTCTCCCGAACGCAAGCCACGAGTTAAACACGCTCGCCTCGTCACGAAGAAAACTGCGAGATCCGCGATGGAGGTTTACCCGCGCTCTCTCGCGTCGCAGAATTTTTCCACCACGGTCCAATATTCGCGCGTTAATAAAGCACGCCGCAATAAAAAAGGGAAAGAAAGAGAGGGGTGAGCTTTTCGAGGCATTCAACGGCCGCAGTATCGTGAGGCGTTTAAAGCTTCCTATCGTCGACAAACTCCTCCACCGGAGGTTCCATAGCCGCGGGCGCAGGGCCACGTCGATATCATGATTTGTTTGTCGCTCGGCGTAAAAGGTGGGTTGAACGCGAATTTACGAGCGAACGAGCCCAAATCCTTGGGAAAAAAAAAGAATCTCACACGCTCCGAATAGACGACGGATGCCCCGGGCGGGTATCTGTCTATCTTCGCTGACTACTATTTTACGATTTCACGGCAGCCTGTGTACGCTTCGCCTTGTTTTTCTTTTTTCTTTCTTTTTTCAAAGAAGTGCCTGCTGCTGCCGGTCCTACGGGAAGATAAATACAGTATTATTCGGCTAAAGCTACTCCCGAGGAACGTAGGAAATATTGAAAACGCGTTGCGCGGGGATTTAAAACTTGCCCGTGGCGCGGATGGCTCGCTCAGTAGGGAAAGACAGATTACGCGCGGACTGTTTATAAGCGAGGGGAATATCTTGTTCGCGCTAAAAATCGCGCGTGCGCTGCGCGAGATTAACTGTTGAAATCGCAGTGTATCGACCAGCGTTAATCTCACTGTAGCTTTGTAATCTTGCAAATTTAGTACAGTACATGAAGTAAGTGCGTTCGAGGCGAATTACCGAATAAATGTCGACGCTGTCTCGTATTTGGCTCCGGTTTTATAGGATAAATCAGATAAATGTGAATATATGAGAAAATTCTAGATGAGAAGACTGAAAACGTGTTGCACAGGGGTTGAAAACTTGTTCGTTCGAGTTTGCTCAGTAAAGAAAGGTAGATTGACACGGATGGGCTTTCTGTGAGAAAGAGAAATATCTTCGTATTAAAAATCGTGCTACGCGAGATTAATTGATGAAATTACGATGAAATTGATGAAATTAATTAAATTCGATGAAATTATATCGGCACGTTAATTTTTCTATTGTTTTGCAATATTATAAATTTAATACATATCGCACTAAAGATAAGAGAGCGCTATTTTTCGGAACAAATTACCGAATAAATGTCAATACCATCTCGCACCCGGCTCTAGTTTGAAAAAAATAAATCAGATAAATATAATATCATTCTGGCAAAATTTTTCCCAGGGAATATGTGAAATATTAAAAACGTGTTGTACGACGAATCAAAATTTTGTGGCGTGGAAGATTCGCTCAGTAGAGAAAGATAGATAGACTTCACGCGCACCGTATATACACATACATACACACACACATATACACAATTTGTGCGCGAACGGGGCTCTCTATCTAGAAAGAGAAATAGTTTCGCATCGAGAATCACGCTACGTTAGATTAACTGATGAAGCTACGGTGTATCAATTCGCGTTTATTTCCCTATTGTTTGGCAATATTACAAATTTAATGCATCACGCCTCAATAAGAGAGCGCTACCATTCGAGACAAATTATCGGATAAATATCGACACCGTCTCGCTCTAAGCTCTGTTTTAATGAAGATAAATCAGATAAATACGAATATACGAAACATTGAAAACGCATTAGATGGTAGAAAAATGGGCTAAGTGATTTGATTGAAAACGGTTTAATAATTCTGCCAGATAAAAATCGCCTTTCTTTTTATTATCTTTTATTATACTATACATCTACATAATTGTAAGTAAGTTGCCATAAAGCTGGATCAGTCACGTCTTTGAGAAACCCATCAAAATTTTTGCACACCGGATTAACTGCGATGAATGGGCGCATATTTTGCTTCATTATTGTTTTGCGACATCACAAATTTAATTATAATGAATTATAATGAATTTAATACACATGAAGTAAAAGATCACGATTCTTTTCGGGACGAATCATCGAATAAACGTCCGCACTATCCCGCACTCAGCTTCGATTTTCATATAGCAGCTGCTGTTAAAAGATGAACATAACCGTTTCCTGGTCGTAATATATATTTGAGACAAGTGGACGCGTCGCGCACCTTCATTACACTAGTAAGATGATAGAGGGTGCTAAATTTCAAACGTAATAGGTAGAAAATCTCGAAAATTGTGAAAGATATTAAAAAAAGCTAAAACACATGTTCCATGATTTCGAAGTGAAAAGAGAATGGCATTATTAGTTTTTTATTTAGAGGGCATTTTCAAGGTCAGCTGAAGGTCAACTTAATTTTTTAATAGAAAGTCCAATTTTTTATTATATCTTTTTTTTCTACCAATTAATTTCAACAACTTTTGTCTGAAACATTTTTTTATTTGCCTAATATTTTTTGAAATATTTAAGGAAAACTTGATAACTTTTTCAACATTTAACTTACGATCTATATCTCGCTAACTATTCGTCGAAAGAAAAAATAATATTGAACTTTTTTACTTTATTTACTATCAAGAATATGTTACTATAATAGTGCCCTAACTTTTGTTAATTTAATAATTTTGAAATTTCCAAAAGTCGATAAGTTAACAAAAGTTACTGCACTATTATAGTAATATATTCTTGATAGTAAATAAAGTAAAAAAGTTCAATACTATTTTTTCTTTCGACGAATAGTTAGCGAGATATCGTAAGTTAAGTGTTGAAAAAGTTACCAAGTTTTCCTTAAATATTTCAAAAAATATTAGGCAAATAAAAAAATGTTTAACAAAGTTGTTAAAATTATTATTAATTGGTAGAAAAAGAAGATATAATAAAAAATTGAGCTTTCTATTTAAAAAATTTAAATTGACCCTCAACTGACCTTGAAAATGCCTCCCAAATAAAACATTGATAATGCCATTCTCTTTCCCCTTCGAAATCATGGAACACATGTTTTAGTTTTTTTTAATATCTTTTATAGTTTTCGAGATTTTTCACCTGTTACGTTTGAAATTTAGCACCCTGTATAAGAGACCAAAATCGTTTCTATATATGAACGAAGCTGAAATTCAGTTCCGCGGCTGTACACAACGATATACATATTTACCTGTTTACATCAGGCGCAGTTCAATCTTGGAATTGTACTCTATTCGGTTGAATAATATTGACAACGCTAAAGATAAACACCAACTATTATACATAACGCTCACGAGGACGCGCGCGCGCACGCATACACACAGCTGCAAATCATAAAGTCGGCGTTTTACGGCGATTTTGGCGACGGGTATTGTACGAAATTAAACGTGCGCACGTGCGCGATATGTGTATATGAGAACTTTTAATAAAAATTCCTCGGTTTCGCCGTGCACTCGACGCTTGTACGCGCGAGGCGTGTACACTCGTCGTGATTTTTTCATTTATTCGAATAAAGTATCCG